TTCACGTGACCACGCTGCTCGTAAAAGAAAACCTCGTGGTGTCTCTCGAAGATCTCTCAGCCGCCGTCACATGCTTCCCCGATCTCACCCATCTGTATCTCAGCGATAATAGCGTCGAGACGCTCAACAGAGCGTTCCTTGCTCACCTCGTTGCGTCATACCCGAAGGTGACGACTCTTCATGTGGGAAGGAGCTTTGCAGTGCAAATCTACCCAGAGGATCTCGAATCTAAGCCTTATCGCAGGAAGGAGGACCATCCGATATCTACGGACGGCTTGGATCGCTTCTTCATGAAGCTCCCTCTGCTGGAGGAGCTTTCCCTCTTCTGCCCCCACCAAGCGACAGAGTTGCTGGATTCTTTCTTTCATCTCCGCACCCTTGTCCTCGATGACGCATCGGCCTTGGAGAATCCAGAATTTGCAAACCTCATGGCTCTTACCACCGTGTGTGTCACCTTTCCCTGGAATCTACTGCACCTAGCCACCCTCCTTCGCCTCCCACGGCTCGCCCATCCAACCACCTTCGCCCCATACCAGAGCCATCAGCTCTCGACGGGTGCTGCAAGCATAGTGCTGCCATCTTGCCTCAATTCGCTCACTTTTGCAGTTTCTTGTCCTCCTTTCAACACCATCATCTCCCCATCAGCATCGCCATTCACTGAGCTGAAGGAGCTGCTCATCACCAACTACAGTGGGTTCACGAGCCTTCCGGACCACATTGAAGACTTGCTGCCATGCCTTTGCAAGCTGACCATCCGCGAGTGCCGTTCTCTTGTTGGCTTGCCTGAAAGCTTCGCTTCCCTCGGCCGCCTGGAAACGCTCGTACTCTATGAATGCGTTCTCCTTTCCTTACCCAGCAACTTCGGTCACCTACCTGCCCTCAAACTGCTGGTTCTGGAGTTTTTGTCTCTCTCGGAACTCCGTCCTTCCTGCAAGGGTCTTGCGTGCTACGCCCCGCGCGCGCGACTTGTCGTGCTGCCTCGCAACCCCGTGCGCCGCCCGCCCTGCTGTCGCGGCTGCCTGCTGCGCCTGCGCACCTGCTTTCCCTCCCGTCCCTTCTCCTCCCATCTCTCCATCTCCCCCCCCCCCCCCCCCCTTCCCACTCCCCCCCACACATCCAGGGACCTGAGCTCCAACTACCTCACTAGCAATGTGCCGCAGGTGCCTTCTGGCCGTAACATTGAATTCAAGTGAGTCGTGTTTCCAGGGATTCCTCCTTGGTGCTGCGCCAAATATTGGCTTCACCAGGGAATCTGGTGAGTCTCTTAGGTCCAACGCAGTTCTCCTACTTGTTCTCACCCCGTTTAGTATGTTTCTAATTCTCTTTGATCTCTCCCTTCTCACTCAGCCTCTCCATTCGCGCACTGCAAATGCTTGGAGAATACAGCAAGGTGTGGGAACTTTTGAGGTGCCTCAAAAGCCATTGTTTGGTTGCTTGGCAAGTACAGCGGGTTGTGGGAGACATGATAAACCGAGCCAAGGACTGTTCGCTCGTTAGAGTCTGGGATGCTTGCATGGCAGGGCAGGGACAAGGGCAGGCCATGGTTACGGGCTTGGCCTGAGCCTGCTGCAAAGTGATGCTCTGCGCCGCAATGTGTTACAATCATCAAGTCTGGTTGGCGGCGAGGGTGGACTGGAGGCAGTGGCAGTGGAGACACTTTGGTTATGCTTCTCAAAAGCAGCTCCAATCGCGTGGTGGAAAGGTGGTTGTCTCACATGTGAGTATTCGCAAAAGTGGAAGGTGCTTGTCTCTCTCTCTCTCTCTCTCTCTCTCTCTCTCTCTCTCTCTCTCTCTCACACACACACACACACACACACACACACACACACACAAGCGGTCCTAGATTAATGTGTATACATGGTACAAGCAAGGCATGTGCAAGATTTTAGCAAGCAAACCCTAGGCATGCAAGAGATATTATCTTGGTATTAAGCAAACAGTCTAGGTATTTGGCCGGCTAGCCTGCAACCATGCGACCCCAACTGTGATCAGGCCAAGCCAACACCCTCCTGTAAGGTCTGCCCAATGGCTGGCCAGCGCAACCGAGGGGCCTACCCAGTGCCCCGAACCCCTTTACCGCGGCCTGGAGCCTCCTCTCGCTCCAGCCCCTCCTTCTCCCTTCACCCATCCAGGGCCGGCCCCCAGTCCAGCCCATCCTCAAGGACTTGCTAGAGGTCCCCGAGGCTGGGTTCCCACGGCTCTGCTGGGGCCTGGGGGAAGGCCCTCTCCGTCGCCCTGTTGGACTTGGCCAGCAGGGCGTTCGCCTGGCTGCGCAGTCAGCTTGGAGGCTACTGAGGTGAGCCTCCCCTGCCTGTGCTTTTTCTTTGCCGCCTGCGTGCCAAGGAGACGAAGGAACCTCTGGGTGTCCTGCGCTAAGGCCCCATACGTTTCCACCGCCAGCCTGAATACCCCTACGAAGTCCGGGCGCCCCTCGTACAGCCCCCTTTTCGTCCTTGCTGCCTCCTCTGCCGCCCAGCCCGGTCCTCTGGTGGCCCCCAAATCACTCCGCTGTAGCACCGGATCAGTGACCGTGACGTCTGTGACGAACGTTTCAGCAGACTCACGGTCTTTGATAGCCAATTCCGCTCGCTTAGGGTTGACGGGTTGCGAGTAGACAGCGGTCTCATGCAAAGTCATGTAATCCGCTTCGCGCGCCATTCGCAGTGCCGCATACACCAGAGAATTGTGCGTGTTTGTCCTGTCATTTCCTTCCGCGCACCTCAGCAGGTGGTTGGGGAGGCTCCGGTCATGTACATGTGATCGTTCACCGTGGCACGGGCACGTGTCTGTCACTGGCAGGGTCAGCCCCAAGCGAAAGCCCAGGGCTATTGCATATTGGCCCGGCGAAAACGTCAGGTCCCCTCTCGTAGGGATGGCGTGTAGCCAATCCCTTGCCCCTACTCCCTGCAGGCTGATCAAGCGGATTACATGACCATTATCCTCCCCCGGTTTATCCACCCAAGTATCGCCCAATAGTTCCGCTGCCCGGTCCTGATTGATATGCTTGGAGAGGAGCTCCTGAAGTTGCCCCTTCCCCCTCTTTTCCTGGCTGAAACCCCTAAGCAGCTCCTGTGCCGCCTCTCGGAGCCTGTTCCGCATGTCCTGTAGCGTATTTCTGCTGCCCACTGCTGCCCCTTCCCCTTGCGGTGAGACCAGCTCCCCTACACGCCGCAGCGGGTGATCTGGTGTGGCCGTAACCTGCTGCAGAAGGTTCTGGGCTGCATTTAGCGAGGCTAGGTATGCTGCCGGTGCCTCCGAGAATGGGTCAATGAGCCCTAAACCTCCCAGCGCCACCGGCAGAGTCGCCTGTCTCCATACCAGGCTTTGCTCGAGCTCCTTTGTTGGTGTGTGTAGGTGGGCCGCCTTGAGGGCTGTCCAAAGTAGCCGCTCACTCCACTCCCTCCATTCTCCGAGTGGTAGCGCGTCTGCAGGTGTGGTACGCAGGAGATAGGACGCCCGGCGGGAGATGCACCGTGATAGCAGCATCATAGCGTGTTGAGGGTGAAGGCGGCCGATGAGGCCGAGGGGTGCAGACATGGTTCCTAGCGCGCCCCTAATAAACCGCCTGCAGAACGCCATCGTGTCAACTGGGCTCCCTAGGACTCTTTTACCGTCCACCGCCGCCACCAGTCCCTCTGGCAAGGTATCCGAGATCCCCGAGGGGCTCCACGCAGATGATTTGGTGAGGTTGCATCTCAGGCTGTGTCAATGGAGCTCCCCACAGATCATGTCAAGCGCCCTAATCGCCCCTCCCGCCTCCCCCACGATTGTGATGTCGTCGGCGTAGGCCATTATTGTTACCGATGGGACCACTTCTGCCACTGTCAGAAGTGCCGGTTGGATTGCCATCGCGAACAACATTGGGCCGAGCGGGTCTCCCTGGCGGACTCCTCTCGTACTGTCAATTGTTGGGACCCCGAAACCACTGTCCAGGAGGAGCTTCGATGGTGAGCCGTATAGCGTGCGCACGAGCGGGAGGAGAGATATTAGCCTGGTCCATCTCATCGACCCTAGGAAGCTCCCGCGTTCAACAGAGTTGAACGCATTCTCTATGTCCAGCTAGAGGGCTATCCGCGTGGGAACTTTGGCTAGTAGCGCTCTAGTCGTGTGTATTATGCATTCCGCACCCCCTGGGACTGACACACCGAACTGTACGGGCATGAAGTAGCTACGAATCTCCTCCCCTAGTTCCTTGAGTGCCGCTTTGGCTGTTAGTCGCAGTAGTGCTTCCCCTATTGCTGTCGGTCGAACTCCTCCGTCCGGTTTGCTAAGGGCGATCAGTCTAGATGGGAGGAGTAATTCCTGGATCGGCTCGTTCTGGTAGCTGCTTAGCAGGTGGTTCACGATCTTGTGCAGCAGGTAAAAAACTTCCGCGTTGGTTAAGGCAGGGTCGCGAAGGTGTTCGAAATAGGTGCCTGATGGGCCTGCACCGATGCCGTTGGGGCATTTTGCTAGCAGTTCGCGAAACTTGTCCGCACTGATGTCGAGCCCACTGGATGTGTAACCATTACCTCCCTCCGGTATCGCCTGTATTGCTCCAGGGTGTTTCGCGCGGAGGGCCTCGAGAGTTGTCTGGGATGGCTCTGCTAGTGGTGTTACGTGTAGGGCTGCTGTCGCTTTCGCCAAGTTGGCCATGCGAACCAGTCCTTCCGCCCTGGCAGAAATGCCTTCGGGGTTAGGCTCGTGTTTGGGGGGTTTGGAATCTGCGGGGATGGTGCTGGCCTGTAGGTACAGTGCATCCCAATCCTCCTCTCGGAATTGTCTCAGCCTCGACTCCACCGCTTGCCATTTGTTTCGTGGAACTTTCTCGAGAGTTGCCCTCAGTGTCAGTCTGGGCAGGAATAGCAGGATTCGCCACGCCCCGAGGCAGTCTGGTTGCCTCGACAGTCGCAGGAGTGGTATGGTGAGGCAGTGACTGAATGATTTTAGAATTTCTGGCGGAAGCTTCCTGACCAGGAAGGGTTGGGAGCTGGCTCGTAGGGGACCTAGGTCCCAAGCCTTTACCCGCTTCCACGCGTCACCATCTTCCATGATTTTAGCTGGTGACCGCTCTTTGCTGGCAGCCCCATTTGCCGGCTTGCCTTATGATTCGCCCACCTGTCCAGTCCCGTCCACCCCCCCCGTGTCCCTCCCTCGTCCCTGTCCACATCCCCACCTTGCTCCTCCTGGTAAGGGTACCCCATCTTCTGCTTCCACAGAGACATCTTCTGATTCCGCTTCCTGCTTTGCACTATATTCGAAGCCACTCTCCTCCTCGTTGCTATTCATTGGTTGTTCTATTTGCTCCTTTGTCCTGCCGTGCCTTTCCTGCCAAGGTCCAGATCTCGCCTTCTCCTTCGCCACCGATCGCACGAGGTCGCCCATGCGACCTCCCCTTCCCCTGCCCCTCCCTCAGCCCCTGGGTACCGTTCTGCCTGCCGTGTCTTGCGCTTGCGACGTCATTGCCCTGCGCTCTGCCTGCTCTTGCAAGGTTCTCTTCCGCATCATCCCCGCACGCTGCCTTCGCTCTGCCGTTACCGCCGCCCTCGCCTCCTCCTCGTCGTGATCGTCGTCTGAGATTTGGGGTCGCAGTACGTCGGTTATTTCAGTTCGTGGTTCTTGGCGTCTTGACGATGACGGGCAAGCGCCGTCGTCCCCCCCTGCAGCATCGTGCGACGGGTCGTCCTGACGCTCCCACCCCGCCAGAGGCCCCGGGCGCGCTGGCGCCAATCCTACTCCGAGCTGCCGCTGCCCTGGTTGCGAGCGAGGAAGGCACCGTCCCCTCGCACCCCCGGGATCCGATTTATCGATCTCCTCGTGGGCGGACCCACCCAAACCTTCGCGCGCGCGGAGGGTCGTTCCGTACCTGCCGCCCTCCTCGGCGCTCACCTGCTGTCCAGCGACAGGTGGTCGGTCCGCTCCTCCAGCAATCCGCTCTTGCCGCGTGATCCCAGCCGCTGCGGCTTCCTCCCTCGCTGTCTCAGTCGGCATCGTCTCTGCCGTGCTCGGCGTGGGAGCCCCCGCCCGCAGCTGTTCCTCTGCCTCCTCCGTACACCCATCCTCCACCCGAGGCGTCACCCCCCGTTCATGCCCCTCCGGCCGCGCCTTCTTTCCCGCTGCCCCCATCAGCGCCTCCTCTCGGTGGTCCACCCGTTCCTCCTCCCCCTCCTTCCCCCCGGTCCCAGACGGGGCATGCTGTGACCTCTCCTGTGAGGATCTAGGATCAAGGTCAGAAAAGAGAAGTGTAAAAGAATTGAATGATTCACCTGGGTACAAGGCGAGGCTATATATAGGCTCGACACAAAGGCAGTAACCCGGGTGTTACTAGAAGGTTCCGCGGGTCGCGAAGCGTCCCGAACGGGTACTTCTCGAATTCGGTAGAAGGCAATTCGTGGCAACCGAAAAGCCTAGAATTCGGTGCACTCAACCTAGTTCGGTGCTATAACTATAATAACTATAGTAAAAGAAACGAACCTAGGAAATCAAGCAAAAGCAAGCAAAGCAAAATAAAGCTAAGCTAGATAATGCGTAATAAAGTCCAAGCAAGCTAGCAAAGCCAGCATAAGCCGTCGTACTCTCACACGTCCCCCCCTTAAAGCTGGGTGGCGTGAGAAACACCCTGCTTGACAAGATAGTCCTTGAGAGCACGACGTGCGTTGCCCATATCAGCTTCTGCAACCCAACTGTCCTCAGTGGGGTCGTATCCCTTCCATCGTATCAGGAACTCGAGGGTCTTGCCGCCGCGGTGCGAATGAGTGAGATCCCGCTCCACTTCATACTCTGGTTCATCCTGTATGAGAACAGGTGGTGGTGGCGGTAGCTGGCGTCCCTGGAACTGTTTGTCGGGGTCCTTGTAGGGCTTCAGTAGCTGAACATGGAAAGTGTTGTGAAGCTCCCACGTATCTGGTAAGCGCAAGCGGAATGTAACTGGTGTCACCTGTGCCTCAACGAGAAAAGGACCACAGAAGCGAGGCCGAAGTTTGGATGGGAGGTGAGACAGGTTCAAGTTGCGCGTTTTAAGAAGCACCTGATTTCCGACTGCTACTGAGTGATCTCGTCGTTAACGATCGGCATACTGCTTCTGGGAGTTCTGCATCGTGGTGAGACGTCGCTGAGTCTTCTCCCATAGCTGCTGCATGGTGGTGACGAAGTCATGTGCGGCTTGGACGTGTGCCGGTGTGGTTGGCTGCTGTGGTGTGAGTGGTTCCCGTCCGTAACACAGAAAGAAAGGAGTTTTCCCTGTGGCCGCATGTGATGCGTTGTTGTAAGCGAACTCGAGGGTCGGTAACTGTGTGTCCTAGTGGGTGACGTCGTCTTTGCAAGCTGTGCGTAGTAACTGTTCAACCACCTGATTGAGTCGCTCGGTCTGTCCGTCAGTCTGTGGGTGGTATGCTGAGGACTTCCAAGTTTGGTCCCCAATAGTCCCATGAGCTCCTTCCAGAACTTACTGGTGAATTTGGGGTCTCTGTCTAAGATGAGTGTAGCGGGGATGCTGTGGATGGTGATGATGCGGTCGAAGAATAGGCGAGCCATTGCTTCAGCTGTAGCCGTGGCATTGGTCGGGATGAAGTGACCCATTTTGGAGAACTTGTCGATCACCACGAGTATAGCGTTATGCCCTCGTGAGGTCGAAGGAAGTCCCGTGATGAAGTCGAGGCTAACGATTTGCCATGGTTGCTCCGGTACGGGTAGAGGCTGAAGTAACCCTACTTTTTTCTACTTGTTGCTCTTCATCCGCTGGCACGTGTCGCAAGAGGTGACGAAATGCTGCACGTCTGCTGCCATCCCGGGCCAGTAGTCATACTTCGCTATCCCTGCTAACGTCTTGTTGCTCCCGAAATGTCCCGCGTAAGGTACATCGTGAAACTCCTCCAATAGGATCTGCCGCAGCGGGGCGTAATTCGGTACACAAATATTTCATGAACCCTTCATTATAGCTAAGTCTTTCTCCCACTGTAACAACTTCTTGGTCTGTGCTGTAGCGATCTCTACGTCCACGGAGTACCCATGTTGGAATAGACCCTTGAGCAGAGGGTTCATCCCGTCGAGCTGGATGCCTGCTACATGTCCGGGGCGGCTCAACGCGTCTGCCTTGTTGTGTAGCCCGGGCTTGTAGACGATGTCGTAGTGGAAGTGAGTTTCCAGGAAGTCCACCCACTGCACCTGTCGTCGTGAGAGTGTCAGATGCGACTTCAGGTATTTGAGACTGTAGTGGTCAGTATAGACTGTAGTCTTGGCTCCCTCTAGGTAACACCTCCACGCCTTGAAGGCTATGACTATCGCTAAGGCTTCCTTGTCATGGATGAGGTAGTTCAGTACTGCTCCGTGTAGCTTCTTACTGAGGTAGGCGATGGGCTGCAAAACGCGTCCGTGATCCTGCATCAGATTTGCTCCGACTGCCGGGTCACTAGCGTCTGCTTCCACCACGTAGTCCTTCTCTGGGTCCGGTGGGATGCGTACTGGCACTGTAGTTAGTGTTGTCTGTAGCTGCTCCATGGCTTGCTGATGAGGAGTATCCCATTTGTAGGGCGCATCCTTTTTCAATAGGTCGGTCAGTGGCGCTGCTATCTTAGCATACTGCGGCACGAACCTGTTGTAGTAGTTGGCAAAGCCTAGGAACTACTGCAGCTCCTTCACGTTCTCCGGTAATTTCCACTTCTTGACGGCTTCGATTTTCCGTGGGTCCACGTGTACGCCCTCGGCACTCACCATGTGCCCGAGAAATTGCACCTTCTTCAGGGCGAAGTCGCTCTTCGACAGCTTCACGTAGAACTTGATTTTCCGCAGGATCTCGAACACCTTCCATAGATGCTCCATGTGCTCCTTCATGTTCCTGGAGTAGATAAGAGTGTTGTCCAGGTTCACCACCACACACTCGTCCAGCAGGGGTCGAAGGATATGATTCATCTCGGCCTGAAACGTTGCTGGTGCGTTGCAGAGTCCGAACGGCATCACCAAGTATTCGTAGGAGCCGTATCTGGTACGGAACGCCGTCTTGTGGATCGAGTTGTCCGCCATCTTGATCTGCCAGTAATCCGGCCGTAGGTCCAGCTTCGAAAAGACTGTTGCACCACGCAGTTGGTCCAGTAAGTTGTCTATGCGCGGTATGGGATATTTGTTTTTTACTGTCTGTTTGTTCAATGCGCAGTAGTCGATGCACATCCGTAAACTGCCGTCTGGTTTTGGAGTGAAGAGAAGTGGTGTACCGTAGGGAGAGGTGGATGGGCGGATCAGTTGTCTGTCCAGTAGATACTCTATCTGTTTCTTCATGTCTGTCAGTTCGGTCGGACTCAGTCAGTATGGTGCGCGTGAGACGGGTTTCGCACTTGGTTCCTCCACGATCTCGTGCTCGTGGGTGCGTGCTGGAGGTACGCATGCAGGTAGGTCGTTGGGCATATATCCTTGTACTGCTCCAGGACCTCCTTCACTGCTGCAGGTAGCTCCGTACTCGGCTTCTCCTCCTCTGCTGCTGCCATAATCAGTGCTAAGTAACCCGTGTTACTCTCGTTCACCGTCCGTTCGAACCGTGCCAGTGCCATTTCAGGAACGCTCCCTGTATCCGTCCAGCTTCGCAACTCCACTCGTTTCCTGTTGTTGTAGATGCACGCCTTCATGTTGATCCAGTCGATCTCGGGGTTGAACTGCTTCAGGAAATCTCGCCCCAAGATGAAATCTAGACCCTTGATGTTCGTGATCGGCAACGTCGGCTTCCACTCAGCGCCCCTATGTGCAGCTGGAGTGATGCTTCGCCGTGGATGGGAAGTTTCGTACCGTCCACCATCGATGCCGTGAACTTGGTCTACTTCAAAGATTCTCCAATTTTCTCCAACGTCCCGTGGTCGCACACCAAGTAAGACGCACCTCTGTCCACCCGTGCCTGGAGGCGTCGCTCGTTGCAGATCGCCTCGAGTAGTAGTGGTTGTTGCTGCTCCGAGTAACCGTAGATGGTCTCGCTTATAGGATCGTAGGATACGTCGAATAGATCATCCCTCGGTCCTGCGCTCGAAGCTGTTGACTCCATATCAGTTTTCAGCTGAGTTGGGTAAGAAGGATTTATCCGAGGCCGATTCAGCTTCGTCTTGGCCTCGAACCTTCCCTTAAGCCTTTGCAGCTGTGTAGGCTTCTCCTGTGGGCAATTGGGAGCCTTAACACTATGCTGCGGGGAGAGAATAGTAACTCCTTGGAACGCACGACCCTTTTCAACGCTCTGGAGTGGTTTCCCCAACTTCTTAGGTACCTGAATAATGTCTGAAGGCTTTTTCTTGGCCTCGAAATCTCCCCAGAATTTTTTAAAGGCTTGAAAACCTCGAGAGGGAATATTCTTACTCTCGGGGGTGTTCAGCTGGAGGTTCCGGGTCGGTGCAGAGTCTTGTTTCGCGGAGCCTCCATTTGTCTCGGCGATTTTCCCTGTTGCCGGCCGGTCGTGACATTTTAAATTTGCGCCATCGTGTCCTCCTTTTTTCGCCATCGTAGATGTCGCAGTGTTGTTGCCCTGCAGCTCCACTCGTGCCTTCTTCATTTTCCAACACGCCAAGAGTCGATGTCCTGCTGCGCCGCGAAATTCGCACTTCTCATATTTTGTCGGCCGTTGCTTCGCGTCGATCTTGTCGATATCCATCGGGTCGGCGGTCGTGGGTGGTGCCGATCGCTTCGTGCCAAATGATCGGTTCGGCACGTGGTGTGGTGTCTCGGGTTCACATAGTATCAGCGCATCGAATCTCTCTGCTGCACACACCATGTCGCGGTAGTTGTTGTAGTTCGCGGCAATCACCTGTCGGCGGACTTCCATTTTTAGCCCCTCAGTATACGCTTGGATTTTTTCCCCTTCGGTCAGGTCGGTAATTCGGTTGAAGAGGCTTTCCATCTGCTGCGTGTACTGTGTTACACTGCCGAACTGTTTATGCCGATGAATCTGCTGCCGCGCCATGTAGCTGGAGTTGATTGGCTCGAAACGTTGAATTAAAGCTTCCCGGAACTGCGTCCATGACACCTCGCCTCGGACCTCGCTGCTATTGTAAATCCACTCGAGCGCTGGGCCTCGTAACAGTGTCGCTGCGAGCCGAATCTGCATTGCATCGTGTGTCAAGGTCGTACACCCAACGGCCTTGAAGTAAATTTCAAAGGTC